ACACGTTAAAAGCACCACGGGGGCATTATAGGGATCTGTTATGCTTAATCTATTAAGTTTTGCTATGTACAGGTCTATGTCTTTTGAATTAAAGTACGCAGTGAACTCTGTTGCCTTGAAACTCATGCTGGAGCCATTCATTTCATATTCGCTCCCGGTGTTCTGGCGAATAATGCTACCTATCAGATTATGCTGCCAACACTGTATTTATCTTACTGTAAGGGTAGGTTTAGGGTTGGGGTAGGTGTACATGTTAATAAAGCCTCACATCTTATTAATATCATGCTGGAAGCAAAATCTGATAGGTAGCACTTTTCGCTATCGAATTATGCTACCATCTGTTTTAATGGGAGGTAGCAAAATCTGACAGGGTAGCACAAATAGTCAGAACACCGGCTGTCCCTGCCTGCCAGCATGGTGGTGTAAACAGAATGGGTCACGTGACGTCCGGAGCTCTATTGCATTTTATCATGTTTTATAACTGGGGTCTCAGAGACCCCGAACAGCTCACCCAAAATATCTTTAATTAATTATAATCACACACTTGTATATTTTATATTAGTGATCAATATGTGAATCCACTGACCGGACTACGCATGACTCGAGCCACATGTTCCTGCACAACATCTCCGGACCGCAGTTCTAGGACCCTATTCTTTTGTAACAGCGCCACCTACCGAATTGGATCACTAAAGATGGACGACATGGACAGCAATCAGAGTGAGTAACTTTACCGATTTTCAATTAAGTTTTATTTTATAACCTTAAAACGATGCAAAGTTTACGTAGCCAACGTGAGAGCTGCTAAGAAATAATAATGAATTCCCGATTGCTAGTTTTATTGATTATTACGATGTTCTTAATTCGTGGCCATGATTTAACAAACAAACTCATAGTAAAGGTTCACCAAGGGCCTTAATTAGGAATAACATTAACAATATCTTTTAACTATGCTGCAAATTATTGTATCTTTATCTTAAATGTATACATTTCCTCAAAATAACTGTTTTTGCACCATGGTTTGCTCATAGGGTGTACTCAACGGGAAGCCCTCTAAGTGGTCTCATAAGCTATCCTCCTCCCGAGTGCCTGTCTACCTCGACAGTGAGGAAAAACTGTCCTGTTTGCCTATCTGAGAGGAGTGCTGCATAGGGCACCAACACACTCAAAACAACACTCAACCACTCCTAACCACTCACAAGATGTAGACCGATTCTGTCCAGATCTTAAATAAACAATGTCAAGATAATCCATTAAAAATTAAGTGGATTTATTATGGTATTCATTGTGTGTTATACGTAATCATACTCTTAAAAGTTATAACCACAAATGCGTAAGTATTATAATGTATTATAAATGTTATGATTATTTATGAGATGATACAACATATTATTAAGCTTTTTTATAATGCTTTATGCATTAATTATAATGCCTTAAGAAAACCCTTATAATGTGTTATAAATACAGGCTTCATAGAAAGTGTTACCGGATTGACAAACAATTGAGGAAAGAAGAGAGAACATTCAGTTGGTGGGTTTTGCTCTTATATACTTAAATTCGGAGTTTGGAGGTAGATGTCAGTAACATGATTATTCTGTTTGGTTCTCTCTCTCTCTCTACAACCCCAACAGCGCATAAGTGTTAAATCAGAACTATATATTACAGAGTTAAACATGTTAAAGCAAATATTTCTTATTTAATTCTCCCTCCCTCCCTTTTTTTTTTTTCTCTCTCAGGAGTTGAAGCCTACAGCCTTTCTGTCCATGCAGCAACTGATGGGAAAGGGGGTCTTTTTTTTATGATGTTGTATTGTGTTAATGCAAAAATGAGTATATACAGTATATAAATGTGCATTCTTGAATCATTCTCGAGTCTTGTTTCTTGCCTCTCTACAAACTTTTAAATATCTGGCTATTCATAAGAACAGTTTTACTGTTTTATAATATTTACTTATGTGTGGTTATAGCTTTTAAGAGTATGATGATTTATAACACACAGTGAACATGTTGCATCCTCTTAAGTTACAATGGATTATATTTATCAGTTATAATGTATTATAAGTCTCATATCCTGCCATCTTTCTTAGGCTACTTTACTTAAAGCAATCAAAGATCACTTATAAGTATAGTGATAATAATAATAATATTTTTTCTCAAACAGGCATAATATCTGATATCAGATCAGATGAATGTGCACACATTTGCTTTGAACTAATTTTTATTGTAATATCAATTTGATTATTTTGATAGTAGCCTTTAGACAACTAAAGGTTGTCAACTAGCAGTCATTAGAGTATTAGTAGACTGTCTGCTAAATATCTGCTAACACTTTTTTTGATGGTTCCCCAACAGATATTCTACTCACTATAAGCAACTTTGCAAGTACATCAACTTATTCTACCAACCCTAACCTTAACTAAGCCTACTAATACTCTAATGAGAGTTAGTTGACAAGTAGTTGCAAAGTTACTTATAGTCAATAGACTAAAGGGGACCATCAAAATAAAATGTAATCTAATAAAAAACCACACGTTGCATTTTTTCATTTGAAAGTATTACAACTGATCTTAAACTAGCTCACAGCTAAATTGATATTAACCTCACAGGAAACATTCAAAAGAACACTCAACCACTCCTAACCACTCACAAGATGTAGTAAAATACTGTCCAGATCTTAAATAAACAATGTCAAGATAATCCATTATAAATTAAGTGGATTTATTATGGTATTCATTGTGTGTTATACGTAATCATACTCTTAAAAGTTATAACCACAAATGCGTAAGTATTATAATGTATTATAAATGTTATGATTATTTATGAGATGATACAACATATTATTAAGCTTTTTTATAATGCCTTAAGAAAACCCTTATAATGTGTTATAAATACAGGCTTCATAGAAAGTGTTACCGGATTGACAAACAATTGAGGAAAGAAGAGAGAACATTCAGTTGGTGGGTTTTGCTCTTATATACTTAAATTCGGAGTTTGGAGGTAGATGTCAGTAACATGATTATTCTGTTTGGTTCTCTCTCTCTCTCTACAACCCCAACAGCGCATAAGTGTTAAATCAGAACTATATATTACAGAGTTAAACATGTTAAAGCAAATATTTCTTATTTAATTCTCCCTCCCTCCCTTTTTTTTTTTTCTCTCTCAGGAGTTGAAGCCTACAGCCTTTCTGTCCATGCAGCAACTGATGGGAAAGGGGGTCTTTTTTTTATGATGTTGTATTGTGTTAATGCAAAAATGAGTATATACAGTATATAAATGTGCATTCTTGAATCATTCTCGAGTCTTGTGTCTTGCCTCTCTACAAACTTTTAAATATCTGGCTAGTGACTAGTGACTGCAAATGCTGATTTCATTTGATTCCATCTTTATTATACCTGATAAAGAGCTAGTAAGGGGGCTGGGGGCTAATCAATATACAGTATATTTCAAGAAACTAAGACTTAAGGTACTCCACTTTTTCAGTTGTTTAAAGACTGAAATACATTTTTCATTTATATTTTAAGTGTAAATTCATTTAAATTTAAAATTGTTAACTCAA